TAAGGTTTGCGAGTCCGTCGACCTCTTGAATAATTTAAAATCTCACTCAGTACAAGTTGAAATGGATTTGCATTTAAAAACAGCCACAAGTTATTTTATAAAGACTTTTTCAGACGTCCCTAATGTAAAATGATAATATAGTGGTCGCCCGCGACTCCGTCTGAATGGAATTAAAAAAAAATAATTAATTTTAGAAAAGAAATCCGACATTGTGCCGGTGTATCGTCGCAACACTAGCCTTATTATGATATCAACGTTTATGTCCCCTCACTAATCAATCTGACATTTGACTTGGTAACGAAAGCACGTCATTCGCGCCAAAGGATTCCTAAATTTGTAGCCTATGTGTTCTTCCAGACTATGTTTTATAAGTATGTTAAATTTCATCGAGATTCGTTCAGCCGTTCTGGAGATATATTCAAACAAACATCCATCTAAACATACGCATACGTACATTAGCACGAATAAAAAGTGTCACATTTCGTACACATAATTAACTGACAACGAAAAACTAATTTGGCAAATGTTTGTCAGTCTGTATGTCAGTAAAGCCACGTTTGTTTTGGGTAATCTGCGGAACGGGTGGACCGATTTTGTCGGAACATTGACAGGATGGTAGCTGATGGACGCGCGCTTGTTATAGGCTTCTTTTTTTAATACTGCGCTGACGAACTCGAGGGCGACAGCTAGTCATACTCTTATGTAATTATTTTAGACGTGTTTATCATTTTCATCCTGAATCTTATCATGAAATTAATTTCGACATTTTTGAGGCGAAAAAAAAAAGTCCGTACGTGACTTCTTTGGTATAAAAGCTCTTTCGTAATTTAGCTACCAGCCCGCCCACTCAGGTAGAGCTGTATAGTGATGCGAATGATTATATCGATATCGACAAATTTTGATTTATTTTTGACCGTTTTCCAACTGTAATAATATTAATAAATATTGTCGTCCCTTACATTCTCTTTGACTAAATAAAGATACAAGATGTAATAAAAGTAAGTTGAAGTGAGTGAAATTATGAATTCGGTGACGTCATTCTGCATTTGTCGAAAGTATCGATAATTATCTCTTATTTCTCTTAAATAAGTAAATTAAATTATTTATCTTGTCTTTCTGAAATAAATGGTAAATAAAGTATAAAATTTGAAAAGCTAAAGTCAAGAATTATTCCGCTGGCGCAGCGATTCAAACCGGCTTCCGATATATGAGATCGCTAAAGCCTATGCCTATTCTGTATCTTCTCCTGCCAGTCCATCGCTGAGGAATATTTACAACATTTATATTATTTCATTTCTCGCTACATTTGGATGAATAACCGTCTACTATATGTTATTAATTAAAAACATCGATAATTTAAATTTACATAATCCCATCACTAAAACCCTTCGAAAGGGAAAACTGGAGTTTTTTGTATGCCAATACTCGGTGCCTCTTGCTTATGTAAAGTAGACGAGAAATTCCATCTCACTGTAACATCCCGTGGGAACTGCTTAACTCATTGCTTACGAGGGTCCAAGTTCGTTCCTGCATAATACACACTAGTATTCCGCTAGAATTAACCAGTAGAATTACACTGCTATGTCATTTGGATTTATGTATATTGTCATCCCTTTCGTTTCCTTTCACACCAACAGAGACTCATCATCAGCTCACTATACGTCCCCAATGAGGGGCTCGAAGCCTACCCTCAGTGCGGGTTCGATGACTTCACATATCATAGAATTTCTTCTCAGATATGTGTAGCATCACGATGTTTTCCTTCAACGTAAGAACGTCGGATAAATGTACATATGTAAATCCGAAGTCGAAATACACATGGTTACATG